ATGTTACACATTTCAGCAAAATAAAAACCTTTAATTTTGATGGTTTTCCAATTATGAAAGTAACTTGTTATTTAAAAAGCAAAATAAAAACCTTTAATTTTGATGGTTTTCCAATTATGAAAGTAACTTAGTTATTTAAAAAGTACAAATAAAAACAAAAAACAAAACGACCAACACACACACACACACACACACACACACACACAAATAGCATTTTCATAAAACGATAACATTTTGAGAATAATTAAATGATAACTATATTCATTTTATAATTTATGTAGGATTAAAGACCAACGTTGACTCAAGCTATGACCACAGTGTTACATCATGTAGAACTTTGTGTGAAGAATGGTCGGAAAGTTTTAGGGAATTTTATTCAAAATTTTGGTTTTCGTTTACATGCAAGAAGAACGACAGAATTTGTGGAGCAGAAGGTTGTTAGGTCAGGACAGTCAGTTTTTGTGATCAACGAAATACTTCAAAAAGGAGAATTGAACTTTCGAGAAAACAAACGCATTGATGATGATTGGACGATTTTATGTTGTCATGAAACTGACACAGTTTTTAACGTGGCCTTACACGTTAAAGATGTAGGAAAAACAACAGAACGCGCTCGAGCGATTGGTGCTCACGTAGTCAGAGAACCATGTGATGTCCAGGACAGGTGGGGTCACGTGACCTATTCGATTGTAAAATCTTGCTGTGGAAATGTTCTTCACACACTAATAAATAAAGACAATTATTTAGGCCCATTCTTACCAGGTTTTGAGATGATGGAAGACTCAGCAGAACAAAATTCCAGCGGAGTAACACATGTGGACCACGTGACATACGTTTGTCGTCCTGGGGAATCTCATTCCATACTTAATTGGTATGAGCAAGTTTTTGGCATGAAACGTTTCTTGATGAACAGGTTTGTATTTATTTATTTCGTATTACTTTAGATGAGACTTGTATATATGATAAGAAAATTACAATTATCAAAGTTATTCGACTTTTGGAACTCACAAAGTTTTTCCATTAATATTTTCCCTATTATAATGAAATAACACTTTATTTGTAAACTAAAGATTAAAGGGCATTGCAAATATTGGATTATATAAATTAATTAAAGTAATTATCACGATTCTACATCATACTAATCATTTCAGAAATATTTCTGATAGGTCAAATGAAATGTAATATTAGTTTCAATTATTAGTATTTGAGTAACTTTTCATTCTTATAATGGCTAAATGAGCAATTTGTGAGTGTGATTTTTGCGTGGCGTAATGACTCGTACCTTATTGATGCTATCGGGAAACAAAGGTCATGAAATGACACTGTCCACTGGACAAAAAACGAATTTATATGCTGAATTCTAGTGTGTTTTTTTTGTAGTTCAGTTTTCTACAAGATGGTTGATGAGAAAGACTTGTTTTTTGGAGGTCAGCATGTATAATTTTTCAGAAATCAATTTCGAGAGAAAAAAGTCTGTGGGGCTAAACAACTTTCAGTAAAAAAAAAATGCCATTTCAAAGTCTGCATGGCTATTAGCTGCATGCATTGCTTTTCCTGTTTTATTTGTAAGGTGAAGATTTTTTCACTATTTCAAAGTTGTTCGGACTCTTTATTGTACATGTGTAAGGGACTTTGTCCAGTTATCTTAAACAGAAACCTCTTAATTCCTGGGTGAATTTAGTCTTATCTGCAACTACCAAATAAAGAAGATCTGGCCACATGTGGTGTATCCAGACCACACAAGCAGGAAGTTCCCCGAGTATCAACGACAAGGAAGCACATACAACTGGAGTCTGCCAGAATGTTTGGGCACTTGGCGAGTTCAAAATTTCGTGAAGAGTTCTCTATCGAACTCCTAGCCCTAGTGAAACCCACCTGTGAGTAGTGGACAGAGGATGGACACGTTTCTGGTAGAGGATTTTCACCAGTAGGTGAGGCAGCAGGCACACGTGTGTGAAGACCGTAACCCATGGACTGAGGCAATGAAGGGAATGGAGTAGTTGATAGCAGTTTATAGGGTCTTGCAGGGCTGTATGACGACCAATCATGAGTAACTCGTTACATTATAGCCCTAGACCAGAGACAAACTGTCCATTGGGGTGTTGGTCATTGTGAATGATTTCTGGCAGGAGCCAAGAATGTCAGCAATGCCTCATTCTGGCACTCATCAGGATCATGAGGGGAAAGGTTTTGGCTCGACATGCAGGTATCTGTAAGTTAGGCCAAGAAAATCACACCTCTAATACTCCAGGGTACTCTTGAGAGTGGACCTGGATTGTTGGCAGATTACTATCTGGAATGATTGGACTATGAAGTAGGCTGTATAGTGCCTAGTGCTGAGTGTAGATAGCCTAGTCCTCAGCACTGAAGAATTGGAAAACCATTATGTGCTGTGCTGCCAATTCAACCCTGTGAAGAATTGGGCAATCTATCTGACTGAGTTCAGTGTTCAGAAGAGGACTGGCACCAATGGACTGATCTCTGCAGATAGGGGGGTATCCTGTTAGATAAGTTCATTGAGATACTCACCAGTGAACTTCTATGACTGTACCTAGGAATAAGGAACATCTGCACTCTGTTGGAAGCCATGTCTTTTGTGATACTTTGAATTAGTAACAGACTGCAGTGGAAACTCCACTACTGGAAGATGCACTGCATGTACTTTCACAGTGGCAAGCCAACCTCGTTTTGTGGGTGCCAAGCTCCTGCTTCCACAGAACTGGAATGCAAGGCAACCACATTTGTCTCCAATGAGGGGCAGGGCTATCCAAGCCCTGCCATGGGGTAGTTGCTGCACAGTGTCTACCTATGGAACACATACTGCAGCCATGTTTTATGCCATCCTTTTGGAAGTTGTTAAAACCAGGAAGAGCAAAGTGTATGTGTTGCTTGTGGATTTATGGGGCAGAAGAACTGCCCATACTTTGCAGCAAGGTTGGTAGAGATTTGCTCTAGCCAACTGGTCAGCAGATGCCTGCCAAACCACAACATCATTACTTCACTGAGCAACACAGTGAGCAAAGGATCAATACTGGCTATCAAATCAGCAGATCTGGAATGACCAGGAACAAATGGGAGATACTGTAACAAATGTTTCAGAAAACCAACAAAGCCCAAGCTAGGTTTAACCACAAGTTTGGGAGGGCAGTTGGCCTGCACTAAGGACTTAGGTGATCAGTTAAATTTTGTCAAGGAAAAGAAAGAAAGAGAAGAAGAGACACATACACTTTGCTAGTATCTTAGACTCCAAAAAAAAGTGCCTTTCATTGTGTCTCACCATAATAGAAATAAATATTACATCATATGAGGTCCCAAAGAATCGATCAACCTAAACCTTTTCATTGTGATGTTTTACAGCTTACTGATATATATTTCAATGATGCAATTATTACAGTTGTTGTAAAAGGAAAAGTTTGAATGTAATTGTTTAAAAGGGTTTTATGTCCTTGTTTTGTTTTTCATCTTTTTATGATGAGTTTTTTGATTAGTATTCTTAATTTTATTAGTGTGTTTATTACTTAGTTTTAAATTTTCTTTCTGAGTGTACTTGCACATTGTTATCTGTGTTGAAGAGTTTTTTTTTTCAATATACTGTTGTCTTATTTTTAAAAGTATAGGTGGAAGATATGTATTTTTAACTTTGTTCCTATTCTTTATTTTATTGATGTCTTCTGTAATTAAAGTTTTAGATAATGTGATTCTTTGTTGAAGGGTTTGTGTTGTTCATATTGCATGTAAGTGTTTTTAGGAATAACAGGAAGTTAACAAGCTCCTGGGACATGTGATTCAAAGAAGATTGGTTTTAAATTGAATTTTTCATTGTTGGCTGGCCTGAAAGAGAGAAAGAGAAGGGAGGAAAGTAGGTTTTGTACCTTCTATTGTGATTATAGGAGTTAAAAAATAATTTTTGTTTTCACTGTTATGACAACAACATGTGGCTGGTCCAGAAAGTCGTTAACATTATTTTGGTTTGGTTTTTAGTCTCTTTAGTAGTGTTTTAGGTGTTAGATGGATTGGCACTGGAGTATTCTTCATTGACCAAAAGTGACAGCCGTCATCCATGGAACAAAAAGTCATGAAGTGATGATGTCCACTAGATAAAACACGAGAGTATTAGCTAAATTTGTGCTCTCTTTCTTAGTTTGGTTTTCTACTAGGTGGTTGATAAGAAGGACTTACATTTTGGAGATCAATGCATTTAGTTCCTCACAATTCAATCTTGAGAGAAAGAAGGCTCCTTAGTTAAACACTTGGTTAGAAAGGACCATCCCTATGTCTGTGTAGGTACATGAATCACTTTTTATTTGTACAATAAAAACTGTTCACTTTTTCAAAATTGTCTTGACTTTTTATTCTACATGTAAAAGGAACTCAGTGCAGTTATCTAATGCAGAAATTTCCCTTAATCCTTGGTGAATCTGCTGTTATCTGCAGGTCTGTCTATCTAATATCTGCAGGGATATCAGTTTACCTGAGAATATTGTAATAGCATTTCAACAACACTGTCAGTAGTGGCTCGTAACTGATCAGAGAAGTTGATGAGATACTATTGTTGTATTGGTTTCTAGCCAGTTAGAATAAGAACTGAGAAAATATGAAAGCTACTCATGGTGAGGCATATTGGTGGTTTTGACTTTGCTAAAACAGAAATACAAATTCATGAAAACATTCTGAACTAAAATAATTTTACTTTAGAGCTTGTTAATGAACCTTCATTGACTCTCCCCTGCTTCTTTTAAAATATAAAAAAAATGCTCTCGAATCATTTCTGCTATATCTTAATTTCATACATAAGAGTAATGATGTAAAAGAAAATGAACATAGGATTGTTCATCATTTTTTATTTGTCCCCTCCCCAACAAAAGTACATATCTCGTCTCTGTAATTTGTTAAATATATTAGTGGTAATGCGTACTATGATGGCATAATATACCCAGTTTTCTAACCCAAGAACATCTGTATTCATATAGAAAAGTTGTGGCATTCATGTTTTCCTTGCTGTTCTATTTGACTGCCAGACTAGCTAGGTATTATTCTAAAAATGAATACTTTCAAGTAAAAATTATGCTTTGGTTGTTTATTTGTTCTGAAGATTTTGATTAACATTTCATCTTTGCTAGAGAAGAAAATATGAAAGAAGGACTGATCCTTGATGGTCAAGTTGGTATGAGACTGAAGGCCATGGAGTACTGGCGCTGTGCTGAGGTGGGTCTTTCCTCTGCACCATCAACTCAGCCAGAAAACCCTGGTGCAAACAGTGGGCAAAGTCTGATATTTGTTTTAGCAGAATCCCTGTTTGGTCAAGGTATGTTTGCTATTATAGTTCAGTATTCTTTAGGACTAAAGAAATCTCACATTTTTAGTAGCATCTTGCATGCTGCAAGGTTCTTATTCAGTGATGGTTTTAATCTTTTGATGCGCAAAGTTTATTTAATCCTGAGATCTTCTTCATTGTCAACAGTTTTGAAATTCTCATTCAGTGCTTTTTCTTCACAGTTTCCATCAATATGTCTGTAGATACTTGAGTTATTGTCTAAGATAGACTGTGAATGTTTTACTAAGAAGCTAATAATTGAACCAACATAATTTCGACCACAGTGAAAATATAAGAAACTATAAACAACAGAGGAACATTGAAATCTACCAACTATGTCCTTGAATTTAAAAAAAGTTCTCTATTCTGAATGTGGATTCAGAAATAGATATGTGTGGGGAATTTGTATTTATAATAGTCATGATCTTTTTAATCACTTCATAGATATTCTTCCCCATATACAATAGACTCCACTCCATATACAATAGACTGATGTATATAACACGTTTGGTTACATCATAACTTACTTGATGAAGGGTGTTAACTCCACTCCATATACAAAAGACTGATGTATGCAACACATTTGGTTATATCATAACTTATGTTATGAGGTGTGTTAACTCCACTTCATGTACGATAGACTGATGTATACAACATGTTTGGTTACATCATAACTTGATGAGGGGTGTTAACTCCACTCCATATACAATAGACTGATGTATGCAACACATTTGGTTATATCATAACTTATGTTATGAGGGGTGTTAACTCCACTCCATATACAACAGACTGATGTACACAACACGTTTGGTTACATCATAACTTACGTGATGAAGGGTGTTAACTCCACTCCATATAAAATAGACTGATGTATACAACACATTTGGTTACATCATACCTTACGTTATGAGGGGTTTTAACTCCATTCCATATACAATAGACTGATGTATACAACACATTTGGTTATATCATAACTTATGTTATAAGAGGTGTTAACTCCACTCCATATACAATAGACTGATGTGTACAACACGTTTGGTTACATCATAACTTGATGAGGGGTGTTAACTTCACTTCATATACAATAGACTGGTGTGTACAACACGTTTGGTTACATCATAACTTGATGAGGGGTGTTAACTTCACTCCATATACAATAGACTGGTGTGTACAACACATTTGGTTACATCATAACTTGATGAGGGGTGTTAACTTCACTCCATACACAGTAGACAATACACAACATGTTTTGGTACTCCATAACTTACTTTATGACGGGTGTTAATTCCATATAAGGACTTTTTTGCCACCTTAATTATTAATCAAGGTTAAGTGTAATCTGTTTTTCATTAATAAATTTGTAATTTTCTCCAAATCTTGTTGGAAATAATGTAATTTGCTTAGAATGTAGTCAGTTCTATAAACTAGAATATTAATGAAGTTTATTTTGTAGTTAGTAGGTGTAAAGCTACTTACATGATAATCCTGGATATGTAGGTTTATGATAAATACCTACTTCTAATTGTGTATCAATTGTGTATTAATTTCTAAATCAAGAAATGGTAATAGTGAGTTATTCTCTTTCTAAAGAGTAAATTTTATACTGGAGTATTTTTTTTATTCAAGTAGTTTAAAAAAATTACTTTTTTTTCCTTAAAAAGTATCATTTACATACCAGTTGTACTTAATTGGATTAAAGGTCTTAGGGCAATCATTGTTTTTCGTAATTAACCAAAAAGAGGTTAGCAAGGAACCACACAACTTGCGGGTGTGCAGAAACATATGGTGAACACATTTATAGAGGGGGGGGGGAACAAACTAAAAATGGAGCTTCAAGGTGACTTTGACATCGTGTTTGCGTATTAAATGATGTCATCTGGAATTGGAGTTAAAAGTATAAGTCTGATGTTAAGGCTTGATAACTACACAGTGTTAACACTTCAGCAAAAAATCATATTTAACATTATGTGGTATGCATCATTGAAGATAATTGAAGGCATGGTTTTTGCTGATGTTTGTCATCTACTTTGTGTGGAGTTTGTTGTTTGAAATGGAAAGAAATCATATCAAACATTTGATGTAATTTACTGATGCAACTGTTCTGGTATGGAAAGCATAGTTTAATATGGTGAGTTTTTCATTTTCACAAGGAATTTAAGATTGTTTTTCTTTTCACACAGGCACATTTCAAGCTGTGCGTGTAATTGTAACAGTTGGGGTTGTTCACTGAATGTGGCTAAATTCCTTCTGTCCTTTGGTGTCACATGTACTTTCTTGTGGTAAAGATTGCTGTGTGGTAGAACATTCTCAGTCACATTGCTTGACGGAGGACAGTGATCTTTTTTCACTGGCAAGCTAGGTGATACCTTGAAGTCGTGTACTTCTATTTTATTTTGGAATGAACATTAATGGTATGTATATTGAGAGGTATGGAATTATAGAATCTTGTGTATAATACTGTACTTTCTTAGCCTTGAACAGAACTAAAGCCAGCGTTTTTCTCCAGTATAAGTGCTGTGTTTTTAGTTCATTAATTAGTGCAACATAGCATTTCAGATTTATGTTTTACCTCTCTGAAATGTCCATCTATGGTTTTAAATCTGTAATGGGCAAATTGGAAAGGAATTAAAAAATGACACCATTTGTTCCTAAAAGGAAATATGTGTGTTTAATAAAATATTTTCCCATTTTGTATTGTTAATGATGTATTACCAGTTTTATTAGTGCCTCATTAGCAGAGGTTTAAGGCTCCTATCACTAAAACACAAAAAAGTTTGATTAACATAATTTCTGAGATTTGTTTCAGTATCTCATGTATATTTTGTAAGGTATTATGATATTATTTAAAGATCTGTTACTTCTCTGTGTTCGTTTGTTAATATTCCGTATAATTTATTTCCAATGAAACTTCAGCGATACAAGTCTTTTCTTAAATAAAACTAGTTTATTCTTTCTCAATTCAACTTTGCAATACACTTAATTTCCACAGCCACTTTAAATTAAACACACGCTATAATTCACAACGAACAATTCACACACTTTACTTATGTCACTACTGCTCTTGACTCAATTGTCCGTCTCTATATCTGCCTGTCTGCAATTTCTCTTCTTCCGATTTATTTGCCAGTCTTATATATACAAAATAGAGGGCGTCTTGAGCCTTCAGGAACCTTCTAGATGCTCATTATGTGTTACCAGCTTCACATGACTTCCGCTGTCGTAACAGATCTAAATTTCTGAAAGTACTACGAGATCATACCATACAGCATAGAAAATTTTGTAATGTAGAAGATAACTTTTAAATACCATTTTAAAATTATAATTCTACTAATGAATAATTAGATAAGATATTCTCTAATATTCCTTTTGCAAATATTTTAAATTTCTCACAGAAAGAAGGGTTAATGATTTATAGTATAGGCTGAAAGACCAAACATTGCAGCTTAGGCCACTTTTTAAAAAAAATAGATATTGTTACGTATCTGGTTGTTTGTTAATTTCTGGTATAAATTCTTTCTGAGGAACTTCAGCGATACAAGTCCTTTCTTAAATAAAACTAGTTTATTCTTTCTCAGTACAACTTTGCAATACACAGAATTTCCAGAGTCAGTTTAACTTAACTACTTTTATAAAAACACGCTATAATTCACAGGGATTCACACACTTTACTTATGGCTTATCTCTATCTGCAATCTCTCTATCTATGCAATTCCTCTCTCCGCTTTATTTTCCGGGCTTATATACTAAAAAGAGGGTGCCTGGAACAAATTAAAGTTGCCAGGACAATTCACGATCCTTCGAGAATCTCATCACGTGTTACCAGTGTCATGTGACTTTCACTGTCATAACAATATTCAGTTCACATGACATGAAGTAAGGGGAGATGAGTAATATTATTTTATGTTTTCTATACTTGATTTGTACACTGTAATTTAGAATTAAGAAATGTATTTGACAAGTTTTTGTCTGGTATAATAAAACTACTTCTCCTAACAATAATACATACTGGTATTTGGTAGTTAGTTAATTTTCCGTAAAAATTCTTTCTGAAGAAACTTTAGCGATACAAGTCCTTTCTTAAATAAAACTGGTTTATTCTTTCTGAATACAACTTTGCAATACACTTAATTTCCACAATCATGCTATAACAAATGCTATAATTCACAATGAACGACTCACGTGCTCGCTCGACTCAATTGTCAGTCTCTATATCTGTCTGCAGCTCAATTACATTGTTACCGTCACTTCTTACTGGTCTTATATATATACAAAAAGCGTACATCTCGTTTCTTCATGAATCTTCTAGAATATTATGACGTGTTACCAGGATCACGTGACTACCGCTGTCGTAACACTGCCCCATCCTTAGTATTGTTCATCCTGAATAATAGCCACTTACATTAAACCAATAAACAATTAACAATAATTTAATTAAATGTACAGAATTTACAAACTCAACATTAAAATTCAACAAAATCTCTTAATTTTACGGGACGTATCTTCTTCTGTACTGGTCTCCGTCTCATCTGCTTCTGCTTCTTGTGGGGTTCATCTGCTTCATCAGGAAATGTCCTATCATCGGTAACAGTCACATCAGTGATAGTAACTTCATCAAAACCAAGTAGAGTTTCT